ATTATCATCATCATTGCTATTACTATTATTATCATTAGTATTATCATTATCATTATTGTTGTTATCCTCCTTAGTATAGATAGGTGTGATTTTTTGGTTTTTACATGATGTCAGTATATTGTAACCCTTCACCTGCTTTGTCATTTATTTTAACAGTCCGCTGATTTCATTTCAGACATCGACGAGTGCGTTCAAAGAACCCACAGCTGCAGCAAGAACGCCAACTGTACAAACACCGAGGGATCTTATAACTGTTTATGCAATCCAGGATTCAGCGGGGATAGACATGAATGCCAAGGTATAATCCAGAAGAGCATGATCCTGTTGAACGGATATAACTCTATGTGTTTACATTTCTGCTTAAGAACGACCCCGAACGATATAGCGATAAATTTAAATAGCTCCTGCAAAATCATATATTGAGCACGTGATTTGGCATGGTTTAACACAGGTACGTGGTGTCTTGGTCTTAGGAGTTAGAGTGCGCTTGAGCCACCCTCCATCGGAAGTGAGGTTAAAATTTCTTTCCCATAGAGCACCCTACGGTTTTTAAATTGGGAGTCCAATTTCGATATCCTCCTTATATAAATCTTTAGTGCTGTAGTTGATGTACTGATAAGGGCTGCTGATTTAATTTCAGACATTGACGAGTGTTCTCAAAACATTCACAACTGTAGCAATATAACCGCTACTTGTTCGAATACCGTGGGAGCATTCAGGTGCATTTGTAAACCAGGATTTATTGGAGACGGACACAACTGCACAGGTACTTACTAAACAGTGTTCAGAACAAAATGCTCTCTCTTCTCAGTGCGAAAAACCTAGTACACACACGTGCTGAGAGAAAGGCAATATGCATGGCAATCTGATATCATCCAGGGCACGATATATACGTTATTGATCAAGCGTGAGGTCAAGATCTCTGGATATTTGCTGAATTCATTTGGCATAAGAACGTGACTTATATTCAGCCATCCTGACAGAATAGACTTGGTCAGTAAGGGATTTACTATATTGCAAAAACACTTCGCTTTATAAAGAATTAAGAAGGAACTGTTTAAATCGTGAGCCAGAAAAGAGAGCCAAACGCATCAAGAATTGGTCCATTGTCGCAGCTCAACTTTTCCAGCCAAATGCGTGGCAAGATGACGGTGGTGAAGAAAGTGCGAGTTTTTTTTTTGTTTTTTTGTTTTTTTAATTTATCTCTTGAAAAAATGCTGGTGTTGCTTGAAAGTAAGTCTCTCTCGGTAAAAACTCCGAGTTGCAGAGCGGATTCTCACAATCTTTGTTAAAAGTCAAGAGCTATCAACAGCTTCTTCAGATTTTCGCAGAGAGTAAGCGCTGACGCAAAGCTGTTTTCTGATGAGATGCTCATTGTCTACAGCTGACATTACTACCTAAGAACAGGATTTTTTCTTTACAAAAGCACAGAATTCTTGTAACGTCGACGTCAACGGGACAGCATCAGTGACATGATTGACTACACGTAGTCTGTTGAGCGAAGAAAAACAACAACAACAACAACAACAACAGTAGAACATGACTATGCAAAACAAAAAAAACTCTCACTTCCTGCTCTTACACAAAAGAATGAATAGGCCATTGTTCCACTGTGGCCATATATGGACATTTTTAATCAATTAACAAAGTCTGTTGTAATCAAAGTTGATCCGCTTTCCTTGATACGATATGTTTTTAGCAGTATAAACTCGCCCGATGCGTTTATCTTTTCTTTGTTCTGACTGTCGTCTCCCGCTTTTAAAATCTCCATCATCGACATTGTCTAAGAATTACAATGTTAGTTTTGTTTTTCTTGCCCGGTATCAAAGTAAACTAACCCGCGAGGGCAAAATGGGTCCATCTCATCCGCACGGGTAGCCAATCAGAACGATGTTAGCGATGTTAAGATTATGCATTTTTCATCAAAGCGTGGGATCGAGATTGCAGGATAGGGCCGAGTTCTTTCTGCACATTTGCGGACCAAGACTAAGTTGAGTTCTGCAAAAAAAACAGAATGGGAAAACGAAGCTAATATCCAGCCATCTTGGTTAAACAAGCTTGGTCAGTAAAATATTCCTTATTTAGAGAAGATACTTGGCCTTATGCAGAATCAAAGATGACCTATTCATTTCCATAGCCAGAAAAAAAACCATGTTAGTTGCACAATAAATCCACGAGAGTCGGTCATATTTCCTTTTGTCTGACTGTCTTCTGCCGCCTTTCATGTCTTCAACACCGATGCTGTCCAACGATTACAAGCATATTTTACACAATGTTTTCTTGCGCGGAATACCAGCGTACAATCCCGAGCGAGGAATATGGGCCGAGAATTTATATCGGTTATCACCTCGAAGATACATACTATTCTCTCTGTAGAATTGGATTATCAGGTGGTTGAATTGATTTTGCATTTGACAGCAGCTCATCACCCCCACAAGCTTCCTTTTCATTGACGAAAATGATCAAGAGAGCGGTCCTTTGATTTCATTTCAGACATCGACGAGTGTCTTCAAAACCATAATTGTAGCGAGAACGCCAACTGTTCAAATACCGATGGATCTCACAAATGCACCTGCTATCCTGGATTTAGCGGAGATGGACATAAATGCGAAGGTAAAATCCAACAAAACACTATATTTTTAGCGGAGATGGACATAAATGCGACAAAGGTAAAATCCATCAGGACACTATATTTTTACACAGATACATTTACATTGGTATGCTTTGTCTTTTTTTAAGGCTTAGTGTGGGACAACATGAGGTACTTACAGAGCACGCCTTTTCCGTCCTGTTATGTTTGCCAGTAACGATTGGTTCGAGCCTATAAACGTCAGGTTTCCTTTTCATATGCAAGTCCCTCCACAGGAAACGGAAGTACTGGCGATCTAGGGGGGCGATTTGAATTCTTAAGTGCATTTGACTGATGTCGGCTTCAAGGGCTATCGAGTTTCGTCTGAACCGGGGAAGAGTGTCCCCCAGATCATTCTGAAGTTTCGGTCCTGGCAAAATTTCGTCGTTGAGGAAAAGTCCTTTGTGTTTAGCAGATGTGTTAAACACAATTCGCGTTTTAGTTGTCTGTCTGTCTGCGCGGAAGACCGGAAAATGAGGAAGGAGCTATCCAGGAGCTTGTTTCGTTGTCTGGTAACTTTCAGATGTAACCCTGCTGAAGATACAACGTAATGATTGCTTGGCAGTCCTGTTCCATTTCTGGGTGCCTTAGTATCTTTATCTCAGTGTTTTTTAGACATTTCAATGCCATGGTGTAATTGTGATGAAGCACAGGTCTTTCATTATTCCAGGGTACTTCTAACTGGTATCTTCCATCCACGAACTTTAGAGAATTCTGAATCTGGCTGAGTACTTTCTTTTCATCAGGTGTTAAAACTTTTTGTTTGTCGACATTTACAACAGAGTTCTCTACCTCCCAGGATTTCTTCAAATTTGCATTGATATTGTCAAACACGTTTGGGCGCAGGGAAAATGTAGCCAGGAAACTTGCTCTTTTTGGCGAAATCCTTTGGAACCGTTTGAACTTCTGATACAGGTCCACCCCATCCCTGTGGTCCAAGCCTGGCTACTGGTCCCTTAGGGTCTTGTCCACTTAGTCAACTGTTGAACTCTGCAGAAATTAGTATTCCCCTCCAATCAGAGCGTCAACAATCGAATCTTTTTGCAGATTCAGGAAACTTAATGGATGGGAGATATAACCATTGGCTTTTTTACAAGTTCCAGTTCACTGCCTGGTAACTACCAGTAACGTTCCTGGGACACGTGTAGACATTTAAGTCCATCAAAGTCGGACCGTCAACGCTTTCAAGTGTAATCTCCACAGGCATGGTGTCCAACGATTCCACCGTTTCATTTAACACTCTCACTGTCACCCTCTCATAGGCAGACTGAAGACCAAGGACAATGGCAATTTCTTCATTAAGAAAAGTTCCCGTACTCGCATCATTAAGCAGTGCGTTTACTTTGACCTTCTTTCGATTTCCCTTGATCCAAACAGGGACGGTTCTTAAAGAAACCAATTCTGAGGAAGGGTATTCCGGTAAGGTTGCTGTGTGATCCCGCTGAATCGATCACTCCCCCTCCATGGGCAAGTCAGTTGCGCCTCCGACACGCTCCTGCGAAATGGTTGGAATGGTTGGAGTGCCTGTACTACTAGGAAAAGTTGGATCTTCTTCAACAGCAGGCAAACATCCGGTGGAGTTGTTTGTAGCTGTAGAGGGATTCGATGGTTGCTAAAATACGTGAAGAAAACTGTGATTTGGCTTGCAGCCATCAATACCACATTCTCTAAAACGACGACACGACGAACCTTTGCGGGTGTTTGAAAGGCACCGAAAGCACAGTGCTTGATCCTTGGCTATCTTCCATCGATCATCAGTATGCAGTGCCTTGAATTTCTCGCACTTTCATATTTCATGGCCTTCAGTCTTGCAAAGACGAAAGATGGCATGACCTTTTGACTGGTCTGCATTTTCCACCCTTCCTACGTGCGTCTCAAACCTCCTCTTACTTGGTTTAAGTCCCTTGGTAGCTTCTACGGCTTTGATACGATAATCAGTCTCATCCAAGATCCAATCTTTAAAAACTTCCAAAGTTTCAGGTTTACATCGCTCTCTGAGCCAGTGGTAATATTGAGACAGCATTTCCTTAGGAATTTTTTCAAGCGACATCATGTATAAGCTTGAATTGGGCTGTCATGACCGGACGAAAAACGCGTTCACTGTAAGTACTTCCCGAGAGGTACTTACAGTGCACGCGTTTTCCGTCCTGCAATGACTCATTTAGTTTTCCTTGTGTTTGCAGCAAAACCTGTCTAACCGGTTTTCTAGGGCACAAGTACCTCGTGATATTTGTACTCGTCTATGGCAATATTTGTACTCTATGAGGTGTAGTTGGATAATGAATTCTATTAGTGTCCGTTGTCATAGTACACTTCAGTTTAAGTACGTCGTAACACAACAACGTCTGATATTGTACACACTTAGTGAGACCTCTGTTGTTACGTAAATGACAGGATCCTTGCTAGTAGAAAATATCGGTTTCATGCAAGTGTTTACAAATTGAGCAATGATGAGAGGCTTAGATTTTCGTACCTTTACTCCGTTTGTGTTTCCTTTCATTCATGTATTTAGATAAAAAGCCGACAGATGGTCCTGAAACTAGAGATAAGTTTAGCACAACAAAACAGGACCTTGTTGCAATCATTTCTGGTGGCGCTGTGGTAACCAGAGGACTCAAGGAAGACATAACGTTGAATGCCTCACTGTCATATGACCCGGAAGTTGCACATGGCAACAGATCAGGAATGAACTTCACCTGGCATTATGGTAAAATCACAGCAGACCACTTTAGCAAACAAGAGGATTGGAAAACAAAGAAAGGTTTCTCTGCGGCAGTAAACGAGTCAGCTATAAATTATTATAGAAAAGCATCTGGCGAAACAATTTCCTTAAACACGGAAGATTTGTCTCGTAATCAGACCCACATATTTAAACTGGAAGTGACCAAGGACATTCGCATTTCCACCGTTTATCAAGTAATCCATTTGTTAGAAGGAGATCCCCCAAAAATATATCAAAGGTTAGGGATTGAATTTTTCTTTTGTAATTTTTAGGTTGTTCGTATTGTTTTTGCTGCTGTTTTTGTTATCGTTATTAATATCTCAATTTATTCCTAACCTTGGTTTTGCTCTATATTTTCGCTCCTGATGCCTCCGATGTTCTTTTCCTCCTATTTTATTTCTGGTTTTGTCAGTATTCGTTGGTTTGCTATCTTGGCTTTTTTCTAGCTTTGTTAATGATACTTATTGTTGTCGTTATTATTGTTGTAGTTACTTTACTAGAGGGTGCCCATATTAATGTTATATCGCAGTTACTGGTGCTGCAGTTATTCAAAATTAACATGCCCTCGTCAAACAACAGGAGTTCAAAACCCTTTCTTCACTGAGTAATCATCTAATATTTTTGCTTGATTCTAGATGTTTCTTTAACTGCCAGCCTAAAACAAGTCCCTTGGTTAAACTTGGAGTCCAATCTTTATGCCAGGGATTGCACTGCTCTAAAAATCCTTCCTTTGAATGGATACTCTACCAGCAATTAGAGGGAAACACCTCCATCATCAATTTACGAAATATCACAATTACACCACCGAATGCTAGCAATATTGTTATCAAGGGAGGCTCCTTTACTGGTGGAAGCAAGTATCGCTTGGCAATATTCATGAAAACTACGGATGATGTATGGGGAATGAGTGCTTACGACATTTCCACGGCATTACCCCCCACGGGAGGGGACTGCTCGATCACTCCGCCAAATGGTATCTCACTGAAGACTGATTTTAATCTGAGCTGTAGCAACTGGGAAAGTGACAGCACCCCTCTGTCCTATGAGTTTCAATACAGGCTACAGAACGGTCTTTACAGCGTGTTATATCGTGGCGCTAGCAACACCATAAGAGCAAAGATACCGCCTGGGAACAGGGCTGATAACTTTGTTGTCGAGTTCATCGCTACAGTAACTGATAATTTTGGAATTTCTGCTTCTGCAGTCTCTTTGGCGGTCCAGGTAGGCGTCAGATCGGGACAGATACTTATAAAAGATGTTTCAATATTTGCTTTGATGACTTTTAAATCACCCTTATCAGTACGCATATAAAACTATTTCATTGAGGCCCTTTTATTTGAATTGCATAACTTCTGTTTTCTCTTTTATCTACTCGCTCAAAAATTGTTCGTTTATGGAGGATCATGCTATGAGTTACAGCCCTACGTTGTTTGGGTTCTTTTTAGAAGCATTTCGTTGAGTTTAAGAAAAAAATAATAATGTTATTTACCATTAAGTTGGTCCATATTGGGAAAAACTGTGCCCTCTGTCTTGGGTATCTAAGAGCTTGGGCACAGTTTTTTTTCCAATACGGACCTCCCAGCTTGGGAATAACAAGTATTTATACTGTCAAACTCTCTTTAGGCATGTAACCAAATCGATACCTGCTTTTTACTTTTTTCAGGTCGAGCCATATCAGCAAGAAAACATCACAAATATCACAAACCTTCTCGTGGAAAGTTTATTCGATGAATCCATCAAAAGTGAAAACCTGAGGGAAGCTGCGGTACGTGCGAACTCTGTCATACAATCAGTTTTGCAAGAACCTTCAATGGATTTGCTGGAGATATACAAGGTATTTTTAAAAGCCTAGAGCAGACTTAAATAGTGAAATGATGATCTTAAAATTTAAGAAACAAAGAGTTTCCCTGGAGAGAAACAAAAATAAAATTGTATCGAAAATCATATATCAAAACATCAACTTTCGAATAAAGAACAAATGTATTACATTAAGTGTATTAGCATAACCGCCTCCCGGTTAGCTCAATGGATAGAGCGCTGGACTGTTGTGCGGTAGGTCGAGGGTTCGAGCCCCAGCCCGACCAACACGTCAGGAAACAAGAACATTTACTCTCAG